GTGATTTGAACGACATTAAAACAATTTGATTTTTTTTACAGTGTCGAGAAAAACTGTCGCAATTTTGGGAATCAAACACTTTTAAAATTCAAAAAATTTAAAAAATTTTTTCCATTTTCTTTTCGTTTTTCGTTTTTCTAGTCATTTTTCTTCAAAATTGTTTTCCAATTGACTTATTTTACTATGAATCTGAAATAAGCCAATTTTTTTATATTTTATTCAGATATTTTTATTATAACATGCAGAAAAAAACGACATTAATTTGAAAAAAGTTTTTTTTTCTAAGACTGTGGTCGGAATTTTCTGTGCTACTTGCACCGTAACCGGCTAGCTACCTTTGTCTTGCATGGCATGAATTTTTATGATAGAGAATTTTCTTGTAAGAAACTATATGATAAGCATTTTACTCGTATGAAATTTTATGCTAAGCATTTTTCTTGTACGGATGTAGATCTGGGAAGCGTAGCCAGAAATATCTTCGCCTTTCTTAAGAATTTTTTTCAACTTGGACAAATAAATTTCTCTTGAATGCAAAAATATCAAAAAATTATGGTGTAGACAAAACACATGATGAGTCTAGAGAAACTCAGATTTCAGCGCAGGATTTAAAAGCCGTGTACCCTTGAAAGGCAGCGGAGAACCACTCTCGTAGGACAGTTAATTATTGTAAGTAAAACCATTAAAAATATTATACTACCGCGCTACGGAAAATGAGTACAACTGTGAGACTGTTTTCAACAAATTAAAGTTTTTTTTTAAAAGAACAAGAACTGCTTTAAAAAAAACAAGAAATTAAAAATAAAAACACTGCTTGTATTAGAGCAAAACTTTGATTGTCCAGAATGATTTTAAGATTGGTGAAGTTTGCTTACAACAAAAATGGATGATATTTTCGAAAATATTTTGAAAATTTAAAAACATTTTTAAATTTTTTTTCAAAATCATCGCCCAACACGCTTTGTAAAGTACAAAATAATATTTTTTGCATATAGCAAGATAATAAATACACAAGCATGCCTCAATTAAAACTGGGACGATTTCAAAGATGGATAAATGTCCCCTTACGGGTTAATATCACGAAATATACAGCGCCTTAATTGTCCCAAACTGGCCAAACTGGCAACCTACATCATTTTACGAATAATATGAACAGCTGAATTTTGCTTTTTAACTTGGAGAAATAAAACCACCACGGAGAACAAATTTTCCGTCATTTTCTTTGAAATAGTCGGAACAATAAAATAAACGGTTACGAGAAAAATCACCTTTTTTATTGTCTCATTTTATAGGTTGACAATTTTTTTACTCCAAAATGAATACATAAATCGGGTTTCTCATGCACTCCCCTATAGATCCTTATTCATAGCTCTACTGGGAAATATCTATAACTTCTTATTTCCTGATTCATCTTTATACCTCTTCAACCGGCACTGAAATCTGATTCGAAAACACCGAATCAATTTCTACTCATCATCCGGATGCTTTCTCCACTCGTTCCTAATTTATTAGATGAGTAACCACAACTAACAATGTTTCCTGAGGGACTGTTAAATCAAAACAGGACTGTTCGAATTAGAGCAAAGCCCTGACTGTTCTGACTGCATTTTGAAGTAGATGGAGTAGTTGTAGTTTTTAGAAAAGAGGTAAAATTTTTAAAAAATGACAAACATAAAATGGAAATTTTTCAAAGTTTTTATTCTAAAAATCCCCCCTCAAACTATTTAAATACAAAATGATATATTTCGCTTATAGCGGACCAAATCACTCGCGCCACAACTCAGTTTGGCACGATTTCTAAGAAGTATTAAAACTCTGCTTACTCGTATTGAGCACAAAATATAACAAGACTGCTCGTATCAGGGCGAAGCCTTGAATGTTCCGACTGCCTTTCAAGGTTTATGGAGTAGTAATAACATTAAAAAATGAAATGTAATAAAACAATATGAATCTTTTTTTTCTAAATTTTAAATCAAAAAGTACAACAGGATAGGTTTCGCTCCTTGTAACAAATCGGCAAATAAGCTTCTTTCAACCAATTTGGAACAATTTCTAAGACGGGTTAACTTTCCGCTTACGCGTTAATAGCGCCAAATATATCGCGCGTTAATTGTCCCAAATTGGCCAAAATGGCAATCTTTAAACCCCCGTAACTTTACAAAAAACGATCACAGGTGAAATACGGTTTCAAATTTGAGCTCAGGACAACAATACCTTTTGAATGAAATACAAAAACTACGTCAAAAAGGGCTAGTTAAAAAGTCGAAAAAGTCGAGAAAGAAACTCCACCTAGAGCACAAATATTCCGTTACTTTCGTATCGAAAGTCGGAACAATAAAAATTTATTATGTATATTTTGTAAGTATAATAGATTATGTAAATATAAGTTGACAGAGTTCTCGGGTTGGTTTTTTTCTCCATACAAAATTCAACTTTTTACCTATCAATTTTTGTCAGAAGTTTTAAAAGTTCATTCGAAAGGTATTTATGTCCTGCGCTCAATTTAAAAAAATGTCACTTGTGAACATTGGTTGTGAACAAATGGGGGTTTTAACATGGCCATTTCGGCCATTTTGTGACAATTAACTTTAAATGTCGAAAAATGACCGAATTAACTATTTTTAAACCCCCATATTTTCACATAAATTGCTGGTTAAAAGTGGAAATTTGTCTAGAGAAAAAAAAACACAATTTTTTGGTCTTTTTCTCTAAAAATCTTCAGAACAACAAGACTGCTTGTATATGAAGGCAAATTTTTTGAATGTTGCGATTGCATTTTAAGGTCAATTTAAAAGTTTTTTTGGGTGAAAAATTGACGAAATAAAAAAAAGAAAAATTTCTTTTTTATTTTCAAATACACGCTATTTGAAAGCTAGAAAGGGGGATGTATTTGACATCTTGTATACAATTAAACCGACTAAATGACTTGCCTCAATTTTTTTGGACCGTATTAATCCACCGCTTACGCGTGTTTTAAGAACACAATATATCGCGCGTCAATTACTCCAAATTGACCACATAAGCAATTTTCAAATTCGCATAATTTTTGGGCTCACATGTAAAACACCATTTTAAATTTGAGCTCACAAAACCAAAACTTTTCAAATGGTATAAAAAAATTGCCAAAAATGTTCAGTTTAAAAGTCGAAAATTGACTGAATAAAAAAGACCGACCCCACGCATAAATATTCCGCACTTTCTTCGAAAAAAACTGTTATCAACCGCGAAGATTTCATAATTGATTTCTTGATTTCTCTTGGCATGACAATTTTTTATTAAATAGAAAAAGTGTATGATAAAAATTATACAGTGAATCATAGTTTGACATCTAAAATTTCAAAAATATTTCATAAACCAAATTGTGTGCTATTTGAAGCTTTGAAAAATAGATTTCCAAATTAACTCCGCTCCGAAATATTTAAAATAACACAGTTGGTAAGGCATGATTTGTATCTTTTATGAATTACCACACTCTTTGTCTTTGCACCACATTATTGAAAAGAAATTCACCATCAGGGCAGCCTACATATTTATAAGGCCCAGTCATCTATAATTTTTCTTGAATTAGAATAGACTATTTTTAACCTACGCTTTATTTCACATCGAACCACTTTATTAATTCGAAAGTAAATCTACGACCACTAGAACTTTTTTCCACTTTTTTTACAACTTATTAATTATTGATAGAAATTGAAAAAATAAAAATTTAAAGAAAAAAAAAAGAAATTTTGAAAGCACAGCAATTAACACTCAATTAACGCCTTTCTCCCACATGTATGGTCTCAGATGTATGGCCTTCAGATTACAGATAAGAAAAATTTGAGAATGATTTCCAATCCGGTCGTCTCTGCAACTGAGCTTATATACGTGCATAATTTTCCAAAAACTTGCTTCATGTAAGCGAATTTTCAAAAAAATCAACAAAAAAATCAACAGTAAAAAAGTTGAGATAAGTTCGAATGCTCACCGATGAAGTAACTTCTGATGACAGTACTCGTGGCACTTCGTCTGTTTGTAACGCTATCTATATTACGATGTGTTTCTAGGTTCCTGATGTGTTTTTTTTATACCACGAATTGATATTACGCTATCTATATTACGATGTGTTTCTAGGTTCCTGATGTGTTTTTTTTATACCACGAATTGATATTACGCTATCTATATTACGATGTGTTTCTAGGTTCCTGATGTGTTTTTTTTATACCACGAATTGATATTACGCTATCTATATTACGATGTGTTTCTAGGTTCCTGATGTGTTTTTTTTATACCACGAATTGATATTACGCTATCTATATTACGATGTGTTTCTAGGTTCCTGATGTGTTTTTTTATACCACGAATTGATATTACGCTATCTATATTACGATGTGTTTCTAGGTTCCTGATGTGTTTTTTTTATACCACGAATTGATATTACGCTATCTATATTACGATGTGTTTCTAGGTTCCTGATGTGTTTTTTTTATACCACGAATTGATATTACGCTATCTATATTACGATGTGTTTCTAGGTTCCTGATGTGTTTTTTTTATACCACGAATTGATATTACGCTATCTATATTACGATGTGTTTCTAGGTTCCTGATGTGTTTTTTTTTATACCACGAATTGATATTACGCTATCTATATTACGATGTGTTTCTAGGCTCCTGATGTGTTTTTTTATACCACGAATTGATTATCTATTTTGCCTAAAAGTTTGATATTGTTTTTCAATGTTTTTCTTCGGCGAAATAGACGAATTAGTTTTTCTCGGAAAATAATCGGACCATGGTTTTTGATTTAGAGAGTTGAAATTGTTCAATTTGCAATTATTGTTGCGTCCATTTGAAAAGTGAGAAGGTTCCTAGTATTCAAGTGTATTTTAATTTGATATTGGTAGAAAAATGTCATAATTTTTTGTTTCTTATTATTCCTTTTAGAATCAGATTTTGGTTATATATTTCTGCAAGAATTTTCAGAGGGTTCCTTTCTCCTAAGCTCAATTTCAATCTGTCACCTGTTTCCGTGGTATGAAGTCGGCTTGTTCTCCTTCAAGATTCCCGGGTGTTGTCGGGGAGTCCGACTGTCGTACTCGTTTCTTGTCGGCTTACCTCTCGTGTCGTAACCTTCCTCCTGTGTCTGTCGTAGTGTATCCATATCGTCCGAGCAGTTGTCGTCGTCGGAGAATGTGGTGATAAAGATAGAGTCTGCTAATGGCGTTTTCTCTTTTTTCGACCCATTCGGGGGCTTCTGTTTTGGCTTCCGAGGTCTATTAGACCGTCTTCTAGTTCCTCGGAATGCTGAAACAAAGTTCCAAACTGACTTCAATATTCTTTCAAAACACTTCAAGTTAAGCAGGCGCCTATCAATTTGAAAACATGTCCTCTTGCAGCTTCTCACTTCTTATTCAGTTTCCAAATATATGAAATTTATTCGGTTTCCAAATATATCTTAGTTTGAGCCTCTTACAATTGTCAAGTGTAACGTTATAGAAAAGAAATATCAGAGTTGTTAAAGCAAGGAAGCACTGTGGTACATAAATGAAAACTAACATTCGACAGATATGCTCGTGTTAATCCTCGATTCGGGAGACATCGGCTCGAAGTCGCTCCGAGTTGGCGACTCACATCGTCTCGCTTCTCGGCTCGTTTTATATCTCGTTTGGGGCTCCCAATCCGAGTCCTCTCGATCTCCAACTGTCGACTCGTCATTCGGTCTCGTAGCACCTGACATCACGAGCATGTTCGGTTCGTCGTGCTTTGAATACTTTAAAGCCTCTGCAGCGCCTGCGAGTTTGTCAATTCTTCTTTTCTTGGGTAATTTTAGCCTGGCTTGAGCGTGATTGTAATATAATGTGAAATTATTTACAATAACAGGAACCGGCAAAGAGATAGTTAGTACTCCACAAATTGCGCAGAGAGCTCCGACTATTCGGCCATACATTGTCTGGGGAAGTTGGTCTCCGTAACCTATTGTTGTCATGGTTATTATGGCCCACCAAAACCCGGCTGGTATACTGTCAAACTGTTCTATGGCTCCATCATTATCGGGGTCAAGAGATTCCGCATAATGAAGTAAACTTGAAAAAATAACTACTCCCAGAACTAGGAAAACGATCAGTAAAATCAACTCTTTAGCGCTTGCACGTAAAGTATGAACTAAGACTTTCAGTCCAATTACGTGGCGACATAGTTTGAAAACTCGGAATATCCTGAGGATTTTGATGATTTCCCACATTGAAACTACTAAATCAGTTTTGTCTGCAAGAATCTGCACGTAAAATGGCACAATTGCTAAAAGGTCAATTAGGTTCAGCATCGTCTTAAAAAATACAACTCGGTTTGGGCAAAAAATGAGCCGCACTATAAATTCGATCGTGAACCAAATTGAGCAGACGTAGTCCAGAATGGTCAAGTATCGTTTGGGAACTGTTTCTTTTTTGGGCTTCCCACCCATCGGAGGGGGTCCCAAGTCGGGGTAATAGAAGGGGTCTTGGTAAGGATTTGGTAGAGGGGGGTGATTGAGTGGTAAGATTGCACTCTGAAGGCTAGTGGTGTTAATGACAGGATTGGAAGGGGTAGTTGTTGTTGTTGTTGTCGTTGATGATGATAAGGGGGGTTGGGGAGTTACTTCGACCCTCCCCCAGTGGTGAGTTTCGAGACAAAATCCGATGATTGAGACAACAATAAACGTCATAGAGACGAGAGTGATAATCTGAAACATGCATTTTTCAAGCTCACTTTCTCTGCATTGCAGTTATAACGGGGGGGGGGGCGGATTGGGGTTCGGCGGATTTTTTAAAAATTGTTCAAAATTTTGTCGAAATTTTTTAGGTCGACCAAATTAGTTTTCGGAGCTCTCCCAAATCCCTAAAAGTACCCTGTTTTGGCCAATTTTTTGAGCCGCAGGCAAAATTTTCGAAAAAAAACGGCTAAAAAAGGCTTTTTTTAGGCAATTTTTTTTTAATTTTGAGCAAAAATTCGCGTTATTTGGCGCGCACCTACCCCTCAAAATTTGTAAATATTGGCGCCGAAGATGCCTTTAGAAAATTTAAGGGCCGGTCAGCAGGGGGTCTAGTTCCTGGGGAAGGGAGGCGTCCGCCCTCTCCCCTAAATCCGCTTGTCGTTGTAAATAACGAGTGCTTTTACAACGTTACCTATGAAGACGAAATAAGTTTGGAATAGCCTAATTAGTCCGAATGCCAATTTTTTTTATGATCGGACGTAGTGAGCCAAAGTTGAAAACTAAAAATTTGCAGGGGATGGGGGATTGTTGTTGCGGGGGGGGGGTGTGAATACTCCCAAAACGAACATTGGCGCAGCATGATGAGTAGGGGTCGTCTATGAGTCGCCAAACTTTGGGTTTGATTCTCTCCCACTTCGTTTTGGTCCTCCTTCTACTACTCTCACTCATTCCAAATTTGGCAGCTGTCGTCGACAGTTCAAGGTCACCCTCCTCGTCCTCTGTCGTGTTCACACTGCTCGGCCCATCTGCCAATCAAAACAATCAGCCGCATTGACAGTTGAAAAAAGTTGGGACAGGCAAAAATAATTAAAAAGAGCAAATTACCTATTTCAACAGAATTTTGCATACAAAAGATAGTTTGTCAGACAGAATTGATATCTCAAACTCAATAATTCGTCGAAATTAAGAAAAAAATGATCTCTTTAACTACAACCCCCCCCCCCCCCCCCCCCCCTCCCCTATGACACCTATTAATGAGTCTCCCCTAAAAACAAATTGATTTACCGGCTAGTGTTTGTGAACTTTATGCCTGGTAACGAATCTCCCCCTCCCCTTTTGTAAGAGGCGGGTAATAGTTCAGGTCAAAGAGCTCCACCGAATGTTTGCGGTGCAAAGCTAGATCAATCTACTTCGGCTTAGCTTCCTGTTTTTTTAGAAAATTATTCCATGAAGAATTGCCCTTTTAAAGATTATGTTAATGTTACCAGTTTGTCACCTGCAAAGCTCTGTCACTTGCGTCAAACTGTCACTTCGCAAGGCAAGCCTTACCAAATCAAAGCAGACTATTTTAGAGATTACTTGAGCTAAGGTGCTCTTAAACTGACTCCGTAGATAACAGATAGAAAGTTTTATGCAATAAAATTTAACCATTCTGGAAAATCAAAGAAGAATATATAAAGCAAAAGGATTATTGCGGAAGTGATTGTTATAACTATTTTTTTTGTGGTTTAATCAATATCAGTGCCAGATCTTATTACAAATAGCCATGGAGCGGAAAAATTAGTTTTCTTTTTTCCCCTTTTTCTATAACTTTTTCGCTAATTAATAAGTAATAAAAAGAATAAGCAAAACTTATAAATGCCGTAACTTTGCCTTGGAAAACAGCAAAAAGTTTTCCAGAGGGACCATGAATTGGAATTTGTGACAAAAAATTTGCCCAATTCCTTAATACACGGGCAATATTTTATAGGCGGGAAAATTTTTTGGTATTCTGAAGCAAAACTGCGGAACTGTCAGAAAGTACTCATAAAAAACGTGGAAAAGTGTTGTATTATTCGTTTATAAGACGAAAGGTGAAAGTTTCTGCAATTAATTTTTTTTTAATTTTGCCGACAAAAAAAGTATTAAAGCAATTTCTTACTACCAAAAATTTACTTTTTCACCCGCTACCTGATAATTACTTTACTTGTCGTACATTTAGCCAGGAGTGGATTTGGGATTTTCTCGATGAGCGGATTTTTCAACATTTTTCGATAATTTTCTTAGGTCAACCAAATTGACTTTCCGAGCTCTCCCAAAACACTATAAAGACCTTTTTTAACCTAAAAAAGTCGCGTCGTAAACAAATTGATGAAAAATGCCGTTAGCGCCTTTAGAAAAAACTTTGAGTTAGTCGACCTAAAATGGATATCATAAAATAAAACCAAAGGGCGGACCTTTTGGTTGGTGATGGGGTCGAATCCCTGAGGGATTCGACCCTTTCAAAAAAAAATCAAAGATCTTTCAGTCACCAAATATTTGAAAGTTTCGTTCGAATGGCGAACAAAGTGATCGTTTTAGGGGTTCTCAAACGATCCTATTACATTGCTTACCGTCACTGAAGTTTTAGTTTTTGCATGGTTTCCAAATATCGGGTTGCAATCTTTTCATTGAAGCAATTTGGTTTAGTTATCAATCTGTGATTTATGTTTTGATATGGTTTTTTAACCTCAATGATGTTTGTTAAAAAGTATAAAAAAATTCTTTTGGCTGAAACTTCTTTCAGATGTAACATTAAAATTATATCTATTTCCAACTTAGCTATCAATTTTTGGTACTGGAGGTCAAATATTCAGTGCGCAATCTACTTACAGCTTTGTTAACCATATGATCCACCCTGTAAATCAAATGTAAAAACAAATCTGATTTCAAAAAACAATTTAACATGATCTTTTCTAATTTTCTTGTAACATAATCACTTCATCAAAAAACTAGCATTTTTTATCCATTTGGAAAAAGACATTTGAAAATACTCAAGTTTTAGCAGCCTCCAAATCCAAATCTTGACACTATCTCTGAACAAATGTTTTAAAAAATACAAAGCAGGCACAAGATACTGCCTGGTCAGTTTTTTGTAATCGAAATCTTTGAACTCACCCAAATTTGTTAGTTCTTTCAAACTATTTGCTATTCTGTTTTTGTCACCATCTTGTTCATCTTAAGCCCATTTGGAAAGAAATTTTGAGCGGCTTAAGCAATTTTTGCAAAGTGACCAAATGCTGTTCTTCTTTCTCCTGATTATGTTACGACAGTTTTTCCCCGCAATTCGAACGATACTGAAATCCTGGGCGAACAATAAAAATATTTTTTTAACTGTGATTGTTTTTTATAATCTTAATTATAGGCTTTAAAAATTGTCATATCAGGCAATTTTGGATAAATAATGAGTGTAATTTTTAAAGCTTATTGCAACCGGCAAGCTAAACCGACTCACAAATGATTCCAAATTAAACTGAGGCAAACTGATAGTTTCAGTTAAACTTATCAGGATGAGCAATATATCGTTTTATGCTTAAAAAGGCATGTGTACGGAAGATTTACCAGAAAAAAATTTGAAAAAAAAAATCAAAATGCTTCGTGTTGTAAACTTTCTCTTTTTTATTTGCAAACCTTTTCATATATCTGGAAAAGCAGTCAGGCATATCAGTTTTTGTCATGTTACGGCTATTCTTGTTTAAATTGATGCAAAGCACGCAAGTAGTAGATGTTGAGGCTAAAGTGGGGGGGGGGGGCATGGCAGACCCTATGTATTAAGATACGCTATAGACTTCGGGTCTGCCATGCTATGTATTAAGATTGGGTATAGAGTGTACAATATATTAAGATAGGGAATACCGATGGTAAGGTTTTATGGTTTGTGTGATGGTAAGATAATGGTAAGAAAATCGTAATTTTTTTAGTTTTTGTGTGGAAATGTCTAGTTTTTTCGCAAAAATGTTGGCGCGTGTTAACTAATTTGTGAATATCGAAGGTTAATTACGTGTAGGTTGTGTAATGAAGGACTTTTGATTAGATTTTTGATACATGGTAAGTCAATGGTAAGAGTTTTTGGGTAAATTTTTATGAAAAAATTTTCAAAAAAACTTCAAAAAACGATAAGGTTAGATATTATTTGACCTAATTTATTAACTAATCTTACTTGCTATCTAATTGAACGATAATTTTACTTTCTATCTAATTGAAACAATGCTGAAACCTACAGAGACTTCGAAAAAAGTCAAGTTTTTTGAGAAAAAAGTTTAAATTACAAAGAAAGTATATAAATCACTTCATTGTATATTAAGTTTACCGCAATAATTTACATTTTATTATCATGAAACCATTATAATATGACATCTTATATAATTTAATACATCAGAAGAGTTCTTATAAGTCCAATGGTTTTGTATGAATTCCATCATCTTGCACTTGTCTTTTAGGATAAAAATAACTTAGTCCTTTCTTTGTCTGTTCATATGCAGCAACCATATGATTTATAGTTCCGAATCCTCTATTAGTAGATGTAAGATTAATTGCTTCATCAAGCACTCTCCTGTATTTTGACATGGGACCGTCTCCAGAATCTTCTAGAACCCGCTTATTCAAGCCTTTGCTGCTAAATTTGAATTTGTTTGACTTGTTGTCATAGCAGCAATATGTCTTACTACATAAACAGAGCATTTCTGTGCATCTAAATTCTTCTTTGAAAAGTCCCGGCTCCCGCTTATCATGTTTTTTATGGATACTACAACACGTTCGAGGAAAAAAATTAGATTTTGCATCCGCCTTGAAGGAATCTCTGCAATCACTCTCCCTCATTTTTTCCCAAGCAGCTCTCTTATCTGGTTGGATGCAATCGTACAAATTTTCTTCTGCAAGTGCCAAGTAAAGTGAGTCTGTATCCATCTCCAACTCTTCAAATTTATTTACATCACAGAACTTGTCAAAGAAGTTGTAGTAGAGTTCCAACATTCTCAGCTTTGCATACTGAAGTATGAAAAAACCAACGATGATGGGTTCTCTGGTTCAATGGTTGATTTCAACAACTCCACTTCATACAAGTTTTTTTTCAACTGTATTCAATCTTTTGAACAATGGTTCATTGATTGCCTTATGAGTTTTTTCATCGTTCAGATACTTCGTGATTGTATGCCTGGATCTATCCATGATCTGATATCCATAGGAGGAATTGCCCAAGAGCTTCATTGTTTCTGCTACAACTCCTGATAGAGGGTTTTCATCTCCTTCTCTTCTAGCATCAACCACTGACTGAACGAAATTATTAAAGCATTTCCGAGGAGAATATTCAACAAAACGATAAATTTTGGTGCATTGCAAGCCAAGTTCTAAATAAAAGTTGAAGAGAGGAGTTATAACTGTTCCATTTTCTAGCTTGAAGCTAGATATAAGCATTCTCTGTGGATGTTTCAACATTTCATTTTCAATAGCATAATTCTTCATATAGTCACCAATATTGTTTCTTCCAACCTCAGTGTTTTTGAAAATTGGAGGAAAATTCGCAAATTTCGATTTCAGTTCATCTGGAACAACTAAGTCACACTGAACGTAACCAGAAAGAGATCCATCTTTTATCTTTGCTAGAAGAGAGTCTGTAGAAAGGGGTCTTTTGTAGGGAAAGTGGGTTCGAACATGATTTTTGATCTTGTCATTGGTTTTGAAATTTTGCCACCACTCACACTCCCACATTTCTTCAACTTTGTATCCTTTCTCTTGATTGTATTCTCGTCTCATCTCATCCATCTCTCTCTTCTTATTTCCTCGCTCGATATCCTGTTCTGTTAAGGAGGGACGAGTTTCTTGACAAGAACAAAAGTGATAGTAGCATCCCATTGCCTCGAATACTGTTTTACAGTGATCACAATAACCGTCCACATTAAAACAGTCAATTTTCTTCTGTTTTCCAGATGTAAAAAAGCTCTCAATTTTACATTCTGGTCTTGATTTTTGATAGAAAGACCTGACCATATTCTCAAAATTGCGAGTTCGA